TTTACCTTGTTGTTAACTGTTGGCGTCCGAGTGATTTCTCAGAGAGCGGAAAGTCATGCAGAAGCATTGCCCTGGCGAAATTTGAGCAAAGTTGGTTACCGATCCGACTGACTTGCTAGAATTGTTCATCTAACCAAACAACATCACATTTCTGAAAATGGATTTTTCCTCACACACGTCCCCAGGTTACTCGTCGAATCTAGGGCCTATTACCCCGAGTGAGTTGGTGACGCTTTGGTAGTGTTGAACTTGGCATAACATGGCTTGCGGCAACCGGGGACATAAACTAATAACACTGGAGTGAAGTCTTCACTGGTTCCTTCGGCTTTCTGCGGTCTAATGGCATACGTGTTCCAACGCGGATACACTCCTACACAACAATTTGCTGTCTAAACTGACGTCTTTTTTTTAATACACCCCAAGACTCCCGTCACTACCGAACCACTAGCGTAGTAATATATTTGAAATCATACCAATACTGTATAGCAAATGCCTTGAACACATCATAGTATTGAGCCCGGGTTAATTAGTTGCAGTACGAGCGAACTATTTCAGTCACTGCAGTACCACAGTTTTAGCAAATTTATGCAACCCTATAGTTACATACCCGTGTGTCTAATCAGGGCTGAATTTTGTTTCTGTGACATTTTGTTGGAAAATCCCCCTTTTAATACACTGGACTTTATTTTCTACTATTTTAGTGGATATGTCTATTTTCGGGTGATAGGATTTACACCTGGTATCATTACTATATTTGATAGTGATACATAAACACATGCTCATGATACAGTCGGAAGCGTACCACCTACTGTGCTTTATGCAGAGATTTATATTGGATATGGAAAGGGTTTTGTCGCTCTATTTAATCTTTAAGTCAAGTGGATGAATATGCATATGATACACCGAGATGCCCCCATGCAACCATGCTTCTTGTCCAGTGTGTGTGTTTACTTTAGATAGTTAAGATGAAATTAATCTTGTCCTCTCCTAATTGGTTTAAATGCTTCCGGTAGAGCAGGTCATGCTTACCCTTTTCATGAACAACTGATGTCATCACTTATTTTCAGTGATCCATTCATACAATGTCCATCACATGTTTGCCTTCAACGCCCGATGGAATATGTTTCGGTAGATATTCGAGACTGATTATTCTCTGGCGTTGAGGGTTTTGAATTTAGGATCATGATTTGCGTTATGTCTTGTTCCCTTCCACATTAACATGACACGTCGTGATACAACTGAAAGTTTGTAACGTACATAGCGACGCAAACCTAAACTTTCTAAACTAACACTATTCCAACTTAGATTAGTAAATTGTGGCAAACTTGTCGGTGAAATAAATAAAAGTAGATGCGTGAGTGTTAGTTTGGTTTAACACCGCTTTGTTCTGATGTTCTTTGGCGATACGGATTCACATATAAAAAACCGTCAAGTTTTGACAATTAAATTGCTTGAAACATTTACATAATAATTCAAATACAGTCGAAAACGATGAAGCACATCCGCTAATATACGTACATGTAGGTCGTGACATTTCATAATACTTGTTATTTATCATTGGCTGCATAATCGGTAGTTTTTCTCTTCCATAAATCCCAGAGTTGATGGAACCCTAAAAAAATGATCATATTTCACAGAATATTTGTGTGGACACCAGCAGCAATGCGTGGAGAAAGACATTTGATATGAATCACTATATGATTCTTTCTTCCTGTCTAGACGATAGCTTGGTAGTATTTTCCCCGCTGTGAAATGCAGCCGTTAATCTATTGATTTTATTACGATATGACATATAATCGATTTGTGTTTACTCAACGTGGTATATTTGTTGGCGATGATGCATTAACGCCCCATTTGGATGACATTCTCTTAGTCCAACTGGTCTGAGCATGACGTGTACATGTCTCTCATCTTGCCTCAGACTGAAATGCTATAAATTCACTCTGGTGCATCTGTAAGCCCAAGGGACCGAAATTTGGCAATGATGTGTTTGATCTCTGAGAATAAATATCCATTACTTATCAGGAAAGTCGCTTTGCGGAACCAATGTCTATTCTCAGTGCGATGACGTTAATCGGAAATGGAAATAATTCTAACTGCATTTGTAAACATTTGGGTTATATCAAAGCTACTAATGAGATAACGTATAGCTATCATTTATTAATAACACAGACATGTATCAAATTTATACCTTAATTTGTTTTATTATGCTATAAGTTTCATGATTATTTTTCAAACGTTACAAATACTAATATATTGACAATGATATTGTGTACATGAAACTTGTATCATGCTATTATAACATATATATTTCACCAGACGATCAATACAAATAGATTAATAAGAAAGACAGATATTTAAGTAACTGACAACTAGCAACATGAGTGGAGACGAGATCTAGGAAATATATCAAACTGTCTCTCTTAGTTTCGAGCAATCTTAAAACTGTTATCGAAATTATGTTATTTGAAACAAGTGGGAACTATTTACGCGAATTGCGGCGGTATGAGCACAGATCTGTGTAATTATTGGAGGTATTTCATTTTATCGTAAGAGACAAGGAATGCATTCGACAATTATGCCCAAATTATATTTTTGGAATTATCGCTAATGATGTTGCTTTATTGCGAGTCATTCTGAAATGTCTTTTTGTCATGATGTAGTTTAAAAAACACGAAGAATTATGATATTACTTGTAGTTATGCACCATATTTAACAACATGTTTTTCCGGTTTACTTGGAAATAAACTTTTGTACATAACTGTTTAAGTACCCTCAAAATATCTATTCCCGTAAATGAAAGCGACACATACCATTTCCATAACCACATCACATTCTTGTTGCTCGACTGTTAACGAGATGCACTGCTATCTTTGCCAAAACTATGTTTGCTAGCAACGATCTATAAACCTAGAAGAAATTTAATTCACACTGATTGATAAAAAAGCAATGAACAAATGGAAGACAGGGGTTAATCAGCACTGGCTTGTAACTAGCAATGGACAAATGGAAGCCAGTAAGATTGATTGAAGGACAAATGGAAGCAGGGATTCTATTTGTCCATTGCTAATTACCAATCAGTGCTACTTAACTTCTGCCTTCCATTTGCCCATTGCTTGTTGCAAATCAGTGCTAATTTAACACCTGGTTACATTTTGTCCTTTGCTAATCCACAATCAGCGCTAATTAACTGTTGGTTTCCTTGTTAAGTTTCCACCATTGTTATCTTATTACTTTTGTTGTTCTTTACAAGTACATATATATGCTGTCTGCATCCTAGCATTGATTCACCTGATGAAGGCGTAAGCATCTACTTCGAAACGTTCTGTTCCTCATAAAAAGAAGTTGATTTCCATAAATGTTCTCTATTTCATATGAACTGAATCAAGACGACCGATCTGAGAAACAGCCGTATCCATAGATCTTGTTTCGGCGGAGACTTGAGTCTAATAGACAAACCACGTATATATTTTATACTCATGTATGCAAGTGAAAAAGAATATAATTTTTCTCGTAAACAATATATTCTTCGTGTTTTGTTCTTAGAACATAAACACTGACTTTGAAATTTGAAATTGTTAACATTTATGAATGTTATACGTGCGTCCATTTATAAAAAAAATAAATTCTTAGAGTCAGCGAAATCTTTGTTTATGGGGACTTAAACCCTCGGAGTGACGTTTGGATTCAAGTATTCTTGAGCTCATCCTTTGAACAAGGACCAGTACATCAGGACGCAAACTTTAACGAGGTAAACGTGAGGGCGACACATGCCTATATGATCCATTGCAAGAAGTACAAATATAAGATAGCTACACGATAAATCGCAAACAATGATGAAGAACGCAATGTTGTCTATTTCACGATAAAACATTGTTCTACCATGACATCTTTTTGGGAGATTCGAACATAAGCTCGCAATTTGATGACGTAGTATATTGGACGATGTTATTTTTGAGAGGGGAGTGCCCAGTGAGTTGTTCCCATTAGATGTAGCTGGACAACGCATATAAACGCGATGGCCGAACGATCGCATCCCAAAGTGGGAGGGATACGACAATCGGTATTGGGAGAAAAGGTACAGGTAATCGCCTGAGGATTGTGAGAATATGTGAGAAATACCCACCTTTGAATAACATGGACTTATCCGACATTGCCGAGGTCGGATTCTATTGAGTGAGTCAATATAATTAAAATACGAGTAAATATTTTTAAAGGTTTTACAGTTTATCATAAATAAACGACCCGTGGTCGTAAAATACAACACTGCAGGGGGGTTGTCAAAATGTTGATGTTTATATAAACGACTTTAAAGAAAACAATACTACAAATGGAATCAATTTGTCATTCAAAGGAGCGAGTTGATTCCGCTGATAAAGCAAACCAATACAAACACTATCTTTAAGTGACAATTAGCAGCATTCGGTGTCCGTGGAGGCAATATGTTTTTGCTTGATAAAATGCTCCGCGTCAGCACAGTTTCAAACTCATAACTCAATATTGCTTTTATCCAAACTGCATGTGATTTTGGAACAGAATATTGCATGTTGGTTTGAACGTTGTGTAACCTCACGCCGACACGATTTTGTAATAAAATGTAACTAAGTTTAACCATCTGTTGATGCCATTGAACGTTATTGCTCTTAAATGGTGACGTGCATGCATGTGTGTGAGTGAGTGTATGCATAGATACCCTAATGATACACAGCCCACTGATGCCCAGCTCGCCGGTCCTTGTTTTAACTCCTTGATGCCGAGATCGAGGCAAGGAAACAACAACTTTAAACGTCCTTTGATATGACGCAAACGGGAATTGAACCATTTAAGAGTTACTATGATAGTGTAGAATAAATATAATTAAGAAAACCTACACATTTTGTTTTGTAGGTATTGACCAAATTATCACATATTCTAATCGTATGAAAGAATATTGTAACTAAACACCACCTGTCTTCTGGTAATGCTTATATAACCAATGCTAATATCAATCCCATTTTCAGGTGCCTATCGCATATCAACACCCTGCCCCGTCGTGGCGCTGATATTAGGATTCACTGCCATCATATTCCACGTCACGGGGACAATCAGGAGGAACTCAAAAACATTAGTAGCTGGTGTGCTTTATATAATGTCAGGTAAGATGTTGTCATTGCTTCATTATGAATCGACCCGTGAAGATGCGGGTAGAATAGGTCTTCAGCAACCCATGCTTGCCGAAAAGGCGACTATGCTTGTCGTAAAAGGCGACTAACGGGATCGGGTGGTCAGACTCGCTGACTTGGTTGATGCATGTCATCGATCCCAATTGCGTGGATCGATGCTCTTGATATTAACCACTGGATTGTCTTGTCCAGACTCGATTATTTACAGACCGCCGTCATATAGCTGGAATATTGCTGAGTGCGGCGTAAAACAACAAACCAATAAAAAAAAATCATTATGAATCCCGTTGTACGTCTCCATCAGCAGCACGACGACTATATCACAACGGCATGTCAGTCATCAAACCTGGACCAGCTAAATCAGCGGTAGATAGCATGAGAAAAAATCCTTATCTTATATTCCCGTGCATATATACACATTTGTACCGTTGTCATCCGATAAATGGAACAGAACTGATAACCTATGTTTCAATCAGACACCATCATGATGCGTGTTCCTGAGATAAAAATAGGCGAGTTTTTAATTGGTGCTTACATATGTAGCATCCTTGTCTTCAAGTATCTGAGTTTGGAACTCTCTACAGCTTACGCCTAGAAAAGAATACTGAAAGGTTATATGAAATATATTCTTCAAATCAGGAATAATCCAATGCCTGTGTACAAACTCACACCGGGAGCTGGGAGCTTTGGATGCCAACTCTTCGTATGTAGGTGACCGCTAATTATGAAATATCTATGATTTGTTCCAAGAATTATGTTTAAACCTGCAAACACAGCTGCTTCCATTAGGGCAGGGCACGCTTGTCATTTTATAAACGCCAAATACCATGCTAAACCTTTTTCACTTACAGACATATAAGTTTATTTTCAATCTTATGTAAATTTATATTCAGATATTAATCATTAAAAGAGATATACAAACACACTGCTTGCGCATGTCACACGCTTAATCTACCGAGTACTTATTACTGCTTCATTTCTATAGCAGCATCCATCTTCGTGCAAAGTCCATGAACAAAAATGTTTGTTAATATCTTTTTTAGTCCTTATTTATTTTGGTACATCATTAACGTGTGATGGAAGTAGGTGCTATTTTAAAAAAAACAAAACCAAAAAAACAATGCTTGTCAGCAAAAGTCTGCATATGACCTCCAGAGTAAGGTGACTAAGACACGCAATATGGCTCTGGACACAATTCGGAAATGAACGGTAATCCAAGCTGAGACGTGAAATCCCATCTCATTCTAGAGTGTATTAGCTTAAGGACAAACAATCCGCCCTCCGTGACATAGGTCGGAGTCTCAATGTGAATTGTTTGTAGTGATCCCCGGGTTTTACGCCGAGACAGATGACCGGTTTAGACTTAATTAATGGTATAAAAGTAGCCCCTCTCTGGCATCACGCGCATAGATTCAATTCATATGAGATAAAACGTTTATGTCACGAATGCATTTTGCTTTCATCATGAAATTCCTTAGATGGGCAATAATATATGATAATTTTGGGTAGGTATAAACCTCAGTGCAGTGTTTGACTGTGATACATAAACAATCTACAATCGATGTCGAACTTTAGTTCTGTGGTGCATAGACAATCTACATGTGATGTCGAACTTTAGTTCTGTGATGCATAGACAATCTACATGTGATGTCGAACTTTAGTTCTGTGATGCAAAGACAATCTATGAGGTTATACGACATGACATCAGTATTAATACAATTGACAAAGTAGGGCATAACTAACGACAATCATTTATTTCATATCAATAAATATTTTCCGTAAGTAGTCAAGTACCATTAATTATACATTTAAATACACAAACTATAATACAATAAATTTAATTTCCACAATTAATAAGGAGGTGAAGCAATGATGATAAATCGGAGTGATGAAAAACGGGCCTGACTTTCCAAAGTAATATGAAGAAAGTACACCTCTGTCAACGGAAATAAGTAATTTTATACTTAAATACAATGTATCAGCCTGGTTTAGATTTCTAGATATCCAGTAATCAGTAACTTTAACCATAAATAATATTGACAAAACTCTTTCCATAATCATAATAATTCAAGTTTCAAGTACTGATGGCATCAGGTGTTCGCGTAAAGGTAAGAGTATCCTGCCCCACCGATGACAGAGTCCATTGTATGATTCTGACTATATGATGAGCATGTGTTTATGAATCACTATCAAACAGTGATGATACCAGGTGTTAACCAAAAGGTGATTGTATCCCCGCCAGTAGCATACACCACAATCACATGCAAAAGCAAACAATTGTTCTCCTCAACATCGGCTGTAGGCCTATCGCTGCTATACTAACCAAAGCTAACGATCCTGTTACTACTTCAATTTTGTGCTTAGTCATTGTAGTCAGTGCTATGTGTGAACCAGGGGCTACATGTCTGTGTAAATGCATCGCCTGGTGCCAAGGCGAGGTACAGACACTGTAAATAATACCATGTATGTATACTAACTGAGACAATACTTTTGATTATTCGGGTAATAAGGTTCGGAATGAAAAATCCTCCTCCCTGATGATAAATACTGTTTATCGCAAACTGCCAGTGAAAATGCAACCAACAATGCTCAGGTGTCTTTACAATAAGCCATTTTAACCTTGGGTCACACCCACCACTTAAACTATGTATGTGTGCTTGTACAGGTTTTGCTTACATAATGACATCTTGAAGCACTCTGACATTTGAAAGTTCTCTGTGATGGCTTAATGCTCGAATCTGTAACAATATATTATTCCGAAACATGAACCTATTTGTCCTTACAGCCATATCAATGAAATGCAGAAGACGTCTATCATATTTGCTCTGTTTGAACACATCAGGATGATATACTTATATATACGTACATATGCATGTACACAACAACTATGAACAGGATATGACAATGTGCAGACCTAATGTCATCTGAATTGTTTGACGAGATAACGACTTTGTTATTGATGTAGATATTTTGTTATTCTATTGTAATAAAAAGTAGCAGAGCGGTAATTTATCCAAAACTAATTATATATTTTCCCTCTCTTCAGTGGGTGTCCACCCAAAACACCTACAGCTTATAACAACAAAGTTCACAGTTGAATACACATCTAATCCCATGATATGCCTGTTACCTTTGTCATTTTAATGGAATAACCCCAAAAATACTTTATTTTACTAATCAGTCAGATGATAATCACAATTATCAAATTAGTTTAGAAGTAATCAGTCAAATGATAATAACAATAAGTCACTAGCCAAGTTTCAAAAGATGACCAACAGCATCCAAGTATGGGATGGGTGTTTTTAATCCTGGGCCAAATGTTCTTTTAAGCGGCACAAGCGATTCTCTACCTCTCGGTAGACTCGTTTTCTACACCTGGGGGCAGGACCAAAGTCGATCTGCGAAATCTTGGCCCGATCTGCATGTTCTACCTTCGTGATGACTTCAATGAAGTGGTAGATGCTGGGATGTCGATGAGGTAGTCCACGGTTCAGTCTGCTGTGGATCCCTTCCAGATTGTTGTTTGTTCTCGGACCCACCGTTGAGTGATGGTTCCACAATTACAGCAGGAATCGTGCTCCGTCGTCAACCCAGTTGACAACCACATAGTCATTGATTTCAACAGCTCTTGGAACGTTGGGAGTGTCATCCATGGCTTCGATCCAGGTGTCTTGAATAACTGCTTGAGGAAGCAGAGGCAGTCCAGCAGCTCTTCTTATCCCCTTGCACACTTCAAGGTCTTCTTTGTACGGATAGTTGTGTTCCTAAGGATATTCCAACTGTGATCACTTTCAATTTACAGGTGTTTTTCACACACTTCCAGTGAATACAAATTTGTCTCTCTACATTCTTGGTGTGACGATATCCATTAAACAAAACTTGTGCGCTTCCTTTCTGTGAAAAAATAAACTCAACATTCTGGAAACCGGTCATGTTGATATGCAGTCATTTTTTAACACGCTTACATACCACAGCAAACGTACTCTTAACTGGTTTATTTAAATACTTTAGGTACATTCACGCTTCAACCTTTACTCGGTTTTAAACCAATTCTGTATTTCCCGAACAGTGTTACCACTTCATTTTAAAATATAATATGTTTAAACAAACTAATCTTAAGTTAATTAATATAATTTTTTACAAATTTTCAGTCAATCTTTCCAAATGTTAATTCAGCTTATCTTTACTTGGTTCATCCTTTACTCTCATGGATTAATTAGTCTTTGGGACTGTTCCATTATAAGTAGGTGAAATCCCTTAAGTTTGTTGTTTTAACCAAGTAGGGGTGCTGGGCTGTAGGTGTTTTGGCATGTTGGCGTTTTGGGAGATAACCCTTCAATGTTCTATTGTTCTCATAGACAATGCAGTGAGGATTATCATGAAACATACATGACCAACTCGGGAACAGTCTCAATATGTTTGAATGTCAAGAGGACGAAATCGATAATATAAACAAAGTCTGATCAGTCTGAAATGTTGATGTCTTAAGTTAGACTTAAATAGAATATATCTAACAGGGAAAAAAGAAACCCAATGATTTTGATATAATTAAAACAATTTCAAACTTCTGGAAAAGAATCACCTTACCAAGACATAAACTAACCAAACAGGTATTCACAAACTGATGGCAAGACATAACTACATATTATATACTATTGTGTTTGGTTATAGTATATTTGTATATTGGTATGAACACCTCATGATAACTCGACTATCTCCGTGGCCTAATGGACAGAGCGTCTGCCCAGAGAGCGAATGGTTGGTGGTCCCCGAACGCGTCATATTAATAGACGTTACAACGTCAGCTCGGGTCAGCGTATTGTGTCTCAGCGGAGTACTATTAAACTAAACTGAGGGCCAAAAGAAACGTTACCAACATTAACTGATTTGCCACTTTGAAACAAAAATGCCAACCTGTTCAAAAACAGTAAAGAACATATCTCACGAATACAGCCTTCATGTTCTCTGTCGTT